TGCTTTTACTTTCTTTATTATATCGGTAATTTCATTCGCGAGCGATGTCATGTCGCAGAATAAAAAACGCGTATACGTCTGAATTGGAGATGTGCGAGACTAAGTGTTTTTAATCCTGATCGTAGTTCTGTTGAATCTGATTTAATCTCAACTAATAGAAAACTATCGCAGAATTTATTCGTATTAAATCTAAGAAAAAAGAGCCTTGAATACGCGTTTTTTGATTAACTTAGCCGACGAAGGTCACTTCTCTTTGGTCACATGTCTTGTATGTTGCTTTGATTGATAGAATTTATAACATACTTCGCAAAAAAATCATAGAAAATTGAACAACGATTTTTAGTTTAGGTTCGAACATCTTTTTTTCTCGTAGCCTCTGAATCGGCAAATTTTTATTTTTTCGTCCTGCACATCTCTAGTCTGAGGTCTAATGTCTCTAAGGGGCGAATTATCACTAAAAAAGACTGCCATTAGCGACGTGACGCAAAAAACACAAAAGTTTTTACTATGTACGTTTCGGTAAAGTTTGTTTCTGAACATGTTTAGATTTTTCATAAAATTAAGTTTACTCATAATTAGGTACATGAGAAAGTACAAATATACCAACAAACATTTTCCTTGTAACTGAATGACAAGCTCGAAAATAATTCTAAATGGTATCAATCCTTTTTGAGAAACTCGATATGATGACAAAAGAAGAGTTTTTATTTCTGACCATGACAAGATCTTTAGAAAACCAATTGTTAAGAGGCGTCTTTTTCTAGTCGTATCCTTGCTGAAAAATTTCACCATAAATGTCGTTCATGGCGTGGAATCTATTCTGAAGTTTTTCGAATTTTTTTTGGTTATAGAAATTAGAAATTTATTCACTAATTACATTTTAATCTGATGTGACTTCAAAGCGCCTATGTTTATATGTATAAATTCATGGTAGAAGAACTTATACAGAAAAATAAATCTTTTAAAAAATCATAGTCAAATGAAAGATACTTATATCCTGTTTTGGTTATAATGAACAGTATAACTTTTTTGATGATAAATTCAATATTTACTTTTCACGAAAACATAGGATTTGAATGTATTGATATTTTCAAATTTAAGTAAATGTTAACATTTGCTCTGTTTTTTTACTCATAGGATGTTAGTATAATTGATGCTGGCACTAGTCGTAAGCCATTTTTTGAACGCTCATCCGATAATGAGTCTCCTTCACCAAGAAGAAACTTTGGTACCTTTTCAAGAAACCAATCATCATCATCATCATCATCTGTATTTAATTTTGGTGGTACTGCATCTTCTAAATTACAGTTTAAAGAACAAGAATCAACATCAACAGAAAAACCTTTTAGATTTAGTGAAAATTTAACAAGTTCTACTAGAGAGAATCTTTTTTCTTCAAAAAAACCACGAATAACTAATGAACAAACACGTGAATTAGGTTCAGTTAAACGATGGACACCTGAACGAGGTTTTGGTTTTATTCGTCGAACAAATAGTGGCCAAGATCTTTTTTGTCATGTTCGAAGTCTTAAAGATGGTGTACAATCACTTGAACCGGTAAATTTTCAATAATTTAAATATTAAAAACAACTAAATTTCATCTTATGTTAGGGACAAATAGTTGAATATGGTGTTCAGCAAACAGACAAAGGTGAAGAAGCACGTGATGTTATTATTGTGAAAGACGATGGTTTTAAAAATCAACAACAAGATACAACTTCAACTACAAATCTTGGTGAACGTCAAACAGGCACTGTCAAAAAGTAAGGATTAGAATTTCATATTATTTTGTTTTCATTTCAATAGATCTTTTTAGATGGCTAACAGGAAGAGGTTATGGATTTGTACAACGTGATACTGGTGGATCAGATATATTTGTACATGTTCGAAATTTAAGTAATGGTATTCAATCATTAGAAGAAGGTCAACTAGTTGAATTTAATATAGCAAAAAATGAAAAAGGTGAAATGGCACAAAATGTAACAATTCTTAATGAAACAAAGAATGAAAAAAGTGAAACATCAGAAAATGTAACTGTTCGTAGTGAAGCATTAGAATAAATTTGTTTTTTGTTTGGAAAAATTCAATAAATATAAGAAGAAAACAAAATAAAGGATAGAAGAATTCTTTTTTTTTTCATAAAATTCATTTTGTTTATTTGTTTTTTTCTTGAAGAAAATAATAAAAAAAAAGAAAAAAAAAAATGAAAAAAAGTCGTAAATTAGTTGAACATGCAAAAAATCTTTCTTCATCTGATCTTTATAATTTTATTCTTCATTCAAATAAATATATACCAAATAATTATCAAATTAAAATATATCATGCTAGAGAATTATCAAATGAATATCAAAAACAAATTATAGAATTATTTGAAATGAATATGAAAATATTATATGAACAATCAAATGATGGTTATAATTTTGATGAAAAACAAAATGAATTATTTTCTAATCAATCACGATATTTACTTATTTTATCTTCAAATAATTTATTATTAGCATTTGCACATTTTCGTTTTGATATTGATTATGGTAGTCGTGTTTTATATTTATATGAATTACAAGTAAATAAAAATTATCAAGGACAAGGTCTTGGTCAATGGATAGTAGAACAAATGAAATTATTTTGTCAAAAAACACAAATGTTAAAAATTATATTAACTGTTTATAAAATTAATAAGAAAGCGATTGATTTTTATATGAAAAAATGTCAATTTGAAATTGATATTACTGATCCGAATGATGAACATGTTGATTATATTATTCTTTCTTTCACTGTATAATTTTATATGTGTATTAAGATAAAATTTATTTATATTTGACGTTGTAACTACAATAGAAGTTAAATACATTCTAATGAATGAAATTTGAATTGTTTACTAGAGAACTGACAAAAGGAAATAGACGATTATTGGGTACATAGGATATAATCCATTGAAGATGATGATTTCTTTCTCAATACAATAGGAAATGAGATAAACAACAAGTAGAGGTGTTTATACAAAAAATGCAAAGAAAAGCATCACAATAAATGAGAAATCCTCTATTCATCACAGATACATTTAAAAATGTTTATCAATGAACATAGATTTTCAAGCAAACAATTGAAAAGATCATAAGTAATACAGTAGTCATCTAACTTTAGCTACTGTCTATTCGTTAGAAGCAAATCTTTGTATGTTCACTTTTCTTTAATTAAACACTTTCGTTATATTTTATGATTGAAAGGATAGGTTAATTTCAAATTCAATGCTATTAACTCGTATTTTGAATATCATAGAGAGATACAGTGATGCTCAAAATGAATTACATGTTTTTCGTCGAAAGTTTTGCGAAATACTCTAGACTATTGTGAATTCTTCGATCCTTCTATAGGATTATTGAAAATGAACAAGATCAAACAAGTTTGTCCACACCCACACGTTTGAGACGCTTCTCGTCTCCCAGAACATATTTCCAACGAAGTGTTTTTCGACCAAGAGCATAAATATTCTTTAAATTCAATTGTACACCTAACAAATGCCCTTGTTTTCCTAAGATCTTCTATTGAAGTTCAATTTTTGGTAAAATGTAGCTGAGATTTTATGGTTTATTTGCAGGAAGTATCACTTCTACCTGCCATATACTTTCTATGCTAGATAAAAACTACTAAAAATAATATCTTCTGAATAAGCTCCAAATTGATTGTACGTCTTATATAAAAATGTATGTAAAATTCGCAATGAAACGCTGCATATTATGTGATTTCGAATAAGAAAAGCACTTTAAACAACGTTTCAGCGAATCTCGATGCTCTCCTATAGTTAAAACAGCATTAATAGATGTTTTCTGTTGAAAATTCTAAAAAATACGCAGTTGTTTTATTGCGAAATTTATATCGTTTGTTTTAAGTATGAGGTGTGTGATAAATTTTGAACATCACTGAATAAATGATATCAATGCATCTTCAATAACTGCTAAGATTTACCAAATTTGTCAAACAAGAAGACTTATCAACTATATACAAAACTTCGATCTTTTTTTTAATAACAGTAAATTACCTTTAGAATAAACTATTGATCGATTCAACAAAATTTTGTCGTTTTCTACGATATCGTCCAATCACGGACAAAAGCTTCTTTTTTTTTTCTTTTAACATCTATGAATAAATGTATACTCTCATTATTTCTCGATCAATGAAAATCGATAGCATTTTCATCATTAACTTGTTCATAAACAAAGAACGACAACCAATATTTACAACATTATATGTATATAATTACAATCATTAACCGAGTAAAACAAAAGTATTGTCCTTCATATTATTTACGATTACTACGAGCAAACTGTTAATCGTTTTGTAAAAAAGAATACTTCGATGCTTTTATTTTGAGAGAAAAGAAAAATAATTCACAAGTTTTTAAGTACAATAGAATTGCTATTATGATTATGAAGCTTGAAAAGAAAATTATTTATATAGTAGAGTTAAAAATAAAATTTTTCTTTTAGATTTATCAATGATTTTTAAACAGATATTAATTCTTTTTTTGTTCATCTGTATTCAATCATCATTTTCATCATCAATTATTGATATTGCCTTTACTGTAAAAAATCTCTCAACAAATCAACGTTTACAATTAAATTTTTTTACATTTATCACTTCATTATTTCAACATACATCTAAAGACAACCTTCGTTTGCATGTTATTGGTGATTCAGATAGTCATCATTTTGTTAATCAAACTCTTCAAAATCTTCATTATAATCATCAAGTAATCAAGTTCTGATACTTTTATAAGAAAAAAAAAAACGGAAAGTCTCGATTGTTTTATTTTTTTTTCCTCTATTAAGATAAATAAATTTAATATCGATGATTTAGCATCAAAATATGAAAAACTAATCTCACCGTTAATTAAACATTTCTCATCTGGTCATACATATTATAAAGATCCTTTATTTTTTCTATCACCATTTTTACATCAAATTTTACCAGAAAATATTTCTCGTGTTATTATGCTTGACATTGATCTTCGATTTGATAATGATATACAAGAATTATATAAATTATTTAATCAATTTAATCAAAGTCAAATATTAGGTAATAAAAAACTTCAACTTATCTCTATCGAATTATTTTCAATTATATAGGAATTGCACGTGAAAATCAACCTATTTATCGACATCTTCTTTGGTTATATCGTCAAGAAAATCCTCATACTAATATTGGTAATCCTCCACCATATGGTATAACAGGTTTTAATAGTGGTGTTCTATTACTTAATTTAAATCAAATTCGTCAATCAAGTTTATTTAATAATTATTTAAAAAATTCATATCTTATTGAACAACTTATTCATAAATATCATTTTAATCATTCACATTTAGGTGATCAAGATTTTTATACATTATTAAGTTTTGAGCATAATGATTTATTTTTTATTTTGCCATGTTCTTGGAATAGACAATTATGTACATGGTGGAAAGGAAAAGGTTATGATGATGTTTGGGATAATTATTTTAATTGTAACAATGAACAAAATATTAGTTTATATCATGGAAATTGTAATACACCAATGCCAAACAGAATAATTAATGAAAAACTTGAACTTTGAGAAAGAAAAAAAATAATGTTTCTCTCTTTATGTGTATATATATATATATATATAGTTTTTTTTTGTTCCTATGGTTAAGAAGGAAAAGAAAAAGAAAATAAAAATGAAAAGTAATTGTGTCTCACAGTTGTGAGGAAAGAAATAAAACAAGAAATTCTAAATTACTTTGTAGTTGTTAGCAACGACTATAGTGTGCAAAAAGTCAAATTTTTATTAATATTACAAAGAAATGGTAAGTTATATATGACAAGAAAATTTAAAATTAGTATTATTTTAGGAAGACGAAGAAAACCCTCAATTAGATGATAGTATTGATAATGAAAATGTTGATAATAAAAATATTGATAATGAAAATATTGATAATAAAAATATTGATAATGAAAATGTTGATAATGAAGATATTGATAATGAACATATTGATAATGAACATATTGATAATGAAAATATTGATAAAGAAAATATTGATAATGAAGACATTGATCAAGAGATGAGTAAGAAATGTTCGTTTGTATTTATACAAAGATAATTATTGATGGTTTGGTTTTTTTCTTTTTTAGTCGAATTAAATGCAATATTTTCAAGATTTAAAGATGATCCTAATGAAGATTTTATTAATGTTAATCGTTTAACACAAGTTTTACAAGCATTTGGTAGAAATCCTTCATTAAAAGATTCTGAACAAAGAATTAATGAACTTGAAGCAGCTGGTAAGAAAAAAATGTTCTTATCCTAATAGAATTTTCAAATAAAAAGAAATTTCACTTTTTCGATAGATTCTATCAGATACAAAAATTTTTAACTCAGAAAATAATTTTTGTCATTTTATCAGCTACAAAAAAGTTCTCTTCAATTTTCTTACGTATCTATGATGAATAATATTCATTAAGTAAAACGACTCTCTTTCTCGTACTTAGAAATATAATTTTTTAAAGATGTCGAACTTCCTGAAAAATTTTTTTTTATCGTTTCACTGATTTTATAAACTTTATCTACAAACTATTGTATGAACAATAATAAAAATTGGGGTTTCTTTTTTAAGAAAAATTTGAATTAACACTTGAAGATGTTTTACAAATAACCAATGAATCATGGACAGCAATTAATAATGATCGTGATGGTCTTCGTCAAGCTTTAGAAAAATTTGATCCTACACAAGAAGGTTATATTGATATTGAAAAATTTCGGACAATAATGACAACACTTGGTGAACCATTAACAGATGAAGAATTAGATGATCTTATTCAATTAGGTTTAAATGATGAACAAACAAAAATTAATATTGATTGTAAGAATTTATTTATTTATTTATTTATTTTCTTAATATTAATTTCTTTCTTTTTGTTTTTTTTTTTTTTATTTTAGATTTACTTGATCAATTACTTGGCAACAATACATAATCATCTTAATATCATTTTGCTTTTCTCTTTTTTTTTTTTTTTCTTTTCATTATATATCTAATGTGATAACAAAAAGAAAAAAAAACAACAACAACAAAAATATAAATAACAGTATCTGGCCTTGAGCAGCAATTTGAAAAAGAAAACAAGACTTCAAGCAAATAAAAGGAAATGAAAGAGAGCACAAAAGAACAAAAAAAAGAAGAAGAACTGAACACATTATACATCATGGGATAATTGTCTTTGAATACCATTGGATTTTTCATCGGTTTTAACAAAACTTGTGGTATTTTTAAGTGGACATAAATAATAGAAATCAGGTTGAAATTCATCAGGAACAATAGATGATGATGTATGATTATCAGTATGATCATTTCTTGTTTCTTGACGATTGATATTTGTATTTGATATTTCATTTGTCCATGGATATGTTAAAATTTCTTTTAAAATTGTATGACTTTGATCATCAAAGTTTGATAATGGAGGAGAATTTAGAGATTGAGATGAACGCTGACAATGAACTTGATAATTAATACCATTTGTTAATGGCCATGAAGCTGATATTAGGCCAGTTGAACTTGATGAATCAGCTGATGTTGTTGTTGTTAAACTCGATACAGAAAACTAAAAGACACAAAACAAAAAAAAAGCGATAATCAATACATTTGTTTTTTATTCTAAAAATATTTCATAACTGAATAAATCAAAAATAAAAATCTAACCTGTTCAGCACGTAATAATTCTCCAACATGATCCTCACTTGAACAACTTGATACATTTTCATGTTTCCACTAAAGAATAATTATAAATTACAAAAACAAAAAATTCTATTTTCTTATTTTACCTGTGGATTATTTGGTGATATATTAAATGATTCAAGTTCAGAATACCAATCAAGTTCTTCATCACCTTGTAAATGACTTAAATCGTCTTCACGAATAATACTATCACTACTACTATTCATTTTTATTTGATTTCTATCTAAATCATCATCATCATCATCATCATCATCATCATCAAGTGATTGATATCGATTATCATCGAAATAACAAGTATTATTGACAATATCATCATAATTACTATCAAGCCAAGCTCGTAATTGTGAATCAGAAGCATATGTTGTTAACATATAAAATTCCATTGAATAATCACGTATTGTATCTAAATGATATACATTATGATTAATTTCATTATCTTTTGAACAAAGTTTTTGATATATATCTGAATCTGATAATATTCGACGATAAAATAATATTCGACCAAGACGTGGTGGAAATACTAAACGATGTATAAGATTTTTATCTTTTTTTAATGATGTTATTGATGTTTTTATCAATGGTGAAATCGACCGAGATAATAATGATGATGACGTTGTTTTATTTAATTGACTTTCTTCACTACTTAAATTATCATCAATCAAAAGAAAATATCGTCCATCACTAGCCATATGAATATCTTCTTGTCGTATAGGACCATTATATAAAGCTGGACTTGTTGATGTTTCACTTTTTAATGGTACAATATGTGATATATTACTTTCACATGATGAACGTATACGTGACCATGATGTTACAGGAATATCTTCATTTGATGAACTATCTTGTATATTATCATTGTTAATTGCTGAAGTTAATGCATCTAAAGAATAATGTTTTTTTTTTGTTGTTGTTCTTTGATGTAAATGGAATAATATAGTGTCAGTTTTTTAGTGATTAATAGGAGAAATGAGACAACGATAATGCTCTTCTTGTCAATGACATTCTCCGCTTAGAAAACTATTTCATAGTTATAAATATGACAAACATTAGTCTATATGAAGAAGGTCAATATTTTGTTAGATGAAATACAAATCGTTAATTTTTTTTTTGTCACATGAGTCTGTACAGTTAAGCATGCAATATTAGCATTAGAATCTTTTTAAAAAAATATTAAAAATTAATATTTTTTTTTTCAAATAACATTCTATGTTCACTCTCATCAAGGATATAAAATTAGAAATGAAATTTATCTTTTTACATTTAAACTCAATTTGAAAAGAAAAATGTTCTTATTCAGAAGAATAAATCTTCATACGATCTTAAAATTAGAGTCTGTCGGGTTCGACATGAGTCCGACCAGATTCGAAAATTTTGGATTCGATAGGCTCTATAGTCATCGAAGAAATATGTAGGATGTGCTTGGTACCGAATACGAAAAAAAAAATAGAAAAAAAAAATGTCGTATCCTTCGAGACGACTATTCACTTCCGATTAAAAAATTTCATTGAAAGTATCAAAGTATGGTTTTACTTGGAAAAAAATCAAGAAGAAACTTACTATCATTAAGTAACTTTCTAATATGATAATGTTCATTAAGACTATCTTCAGAAAGATCACGTGTAATAACAGAAGTAATAGACGATGCATCATCATTTTTTATAATGATTTCATTATCAACAAATTTATTATCTATTATTTGTCCTGCTGATAATGGAGTTAAAGTTGAAAGTGTATCATCAATATTTGATTCACATGATATTTCATTAGATGCTGGTGATGGTTGTGGTAATGATAATGGTTCAGTAATTAAATGATAAGAAAAAAGTTTTAATTCTTGACTACGAACAGGTCGAACTACTTTAACAGAATCTGTTGAAAATAATGAACGTCGAATATTATTAACTATTGGTGGTGGAAAAATAATTGTTGATTTTAATTCAATATTATGTGATGTTTTATTATTATTATTATTATCATCATCATTGTTATTATTATTATTATTAATAATATGTTTTTCTGCCATTAATGCATCAAGATCAGAAACACGAGGAGTTGCTACTGATGATGATGCAGATTGAACAACAACAGATGTACGTGTTTTAATATTATTAGTTGTAGTATTTGTATTATTTAATTTAGATTTTTTAACAATCGTTTGTGGTTGTCGTGGACGTGTTACTGTACCATTAGCAGATCGTAATTTGTCAGGTGATTTTGATAATGTATATTGAGGACGAATTGATTTATTTGTTGTTGGAGATGATGATATGGTTCGTTGAGATGTTGGTGTTAAATTTGAAGGACGAAGTTGAATACGTGGCGAACGTTGTTGAATTGGTGTTGGTGGTGTTGGTGCTGATGGACGAGAAGAACGAATTGGTGGAGTATTTGCAATCTAAATTGTATTAAAACAAAAAAAAAGAGAGAAAAGAAGAATATGAAAATATTATTAATATTCATGAGATGGTTGTTGTTTTTTTTTTGCTGCTCTCTCTCTCTCGTGCTTACGCGAGGGGACCTTGATGTAGATGTTGCTGTCTTTATTGGTGTATTTTTAATCATGGGTGACGTACGACGTGGTGTTAATACAGTATGTGTACGAGAAGTAAGGTGTTGATTTGTTATTGTTGAATCAACTGTTGATAATGGTAACTTTTCATGATTGGAATTGGTACGTTGCTGTTGTATTTGTCGATTTTTATTTAATGTCATTGGTGTTGCTGATGATGGCGGTAGATGTACAGGTGATGAAATTTTCTTCTGATTAATATTATTATTATTATTATTATTATTATGAACTCTATGATGTTGTTGAAGAACATATGTTGTAGAACGTACAGGTGATGATATTGGACGACGATTATTTAATGTTGATGATATATTATCAATAGGTATAGTTTGAAGATTTGATGAACGATGTTTACTACGCATTAATACTGGTGGTGTTTTTTCATTATCACCATCAGGTTTATGTGATACAAAATAAAATTCATTAGTAAGACCTGTTGATGGAATGTGAGATTTAGATTTAATAGTAGCCATTGCAGAAGAATAAACACTTGATTGACTTTCACTAATGTGTAAGTCTATGAATGATTAAAAACAAAAATAATTATATTATTTATTTATTTATTTATTTATTTATAGAAAATAAAAGATTGATCTATTTTTACTTGAGTCTTATAACTAATAACTTATCTTTCTTACCAGTACAACATAGTGCTCTATAGAAACGTTTTTTATTTCTACGTCTTTTTGATCTTGTGGAAAAAATTTCTGTTTGCTGTTGTAATTTCATTTGTCGAAGTGCTTCGAAGGCCATCTGTCTTCGTTGTCTATTCATTGTACGAAATTTAAAAGTTGATGATAAATGTGTTTTACTACAACAATTAGCTAATAAACTATCACATTCACCATAATAACATTGTATTGAATCGGATTCATTTAAATTATTGTCAAATACAACCATATTTTTTTTTGGTTTTTTTTCTTGACTAATATATCGAATAAGAACAAACTTTTATGTTGTTTTTTGATGAGAAAAGAAATTCGATTGTGAACGAATGATTGGAAAGGTAATACGCATTCGTTCTTAATCTTGATTTATCCCATTTCGGACAACGTCCCGAATACGTATGCTTTGTTTTTGGTTATTGAACGACAAATAGATGATAATAGGATAAGAGAAGAGCCAGTGAACACAAAAGACAAACGACGTATGTGACTAAATGTCTATCAGGGGCGATGAGAGAATAAAGAGTAACGAAAATGACAAAAAGAGAAAAAAAAGCTTTACTTTCGCTAACCGTTATGACGATAATATGAAGAGAACATATGAATAGTCGGGGTTATTAATTAGAATGAATAAAAGCTTAAGTCTGTTTGTAAGCAAGTATCTATATATGTATATGCATAAATATATAGGTGCACGTTCGACTTTTGTTTCTGTACTTTATCAATATATTATTGATGCATAAGCACGAATGACTTGTTCGGTCTTACACGAATGTATGACATACGAATAAGTACCGCCCAATTCTGAGACATATATATATATATATTGTCGCTATGTCGTGTCACGACATACATACTATAACGCAACAATCACAAAGATGGATACATTTATATGGTATCAATTCTTTCTTCTTCTTCTCTCTCTCTCTACATATATCAAATTTCATTCAATATTATTACTATTATTATTATTATTATTATTATTTCAACAAGCTAAAAAAGATTGATTCTGATGACTTGTAAAAGAGAGCAACAGTAACCAATAGAAATGTGTATGAACAAGTCGATTGTCGAATGCTTGTTATAACATAAGTTATTTTATTATTGAATATGAGAGAGACAGAAACTCTTGCATGTGCAATGTATATTATATTTCATTTTTTTCTTTGCCTTTCTCAAGAGGATATATTAATGAAAATATTTCAGCCAATACAATTGAATATGTGTTTTTATGACAAAAAAAAATTAAATTGACCGTATGAAGGTAATGACTTTCTAGTTGAAGTAAAAAAAAATGAATTTTATTAAAAATCAGATATACTTAATTTCCGTTTTTCATTTTATACTATTTAATCTATGTTTAACATGAAATAAGCTACAAAAAAAATATTTAACTTAATGCATCATAAGTTTTTTTTTGTCATGCACTTAGAATAAGGCTTAAATAATATTTTTCTAAGTTGATATGCAAATGTTCTTGATTCATATTTATTTAACGAAAGATGTTATTTTTTTTTTCTTTATTTTCTTGATTTATTTAAATAAAGTACGAAGGATCTGAAACAATATTATCTTACCTTGTCTAAATTTGTCTGAGTATTTTCTCTACATATATACACTCAAATAACATGCATACTTTTTTCTTCCTTTTTTTTTCCTGTCGATTTTTTTTTTCTGTTTTCTTTGTGGCATTATTTCATGTCCGTTTTGCCGCCTGTGTTAGTATGAATTCAACATCTTCTGCTCTCATCGTTATAGAAAATCATCGAAGCTTGCTTTTTTTCTCACTTTTTTTTTTCTATTGCAGTTTTTTTGTCGTTCAACACACACACACACACTTTCTCTTTTTTTTCCTCGTTCTATTATATCTAATTATTTATGGGTATCTATGCGTGTAATAGAAATACAAGAAGTAAATTACATCATAATTCTCCTATGCTATGTACACATACGTGATGGTTGATTTGTTGTCTTTTGATCATTCTCTTCGACAATCATTAATTGCTGATGAAACCATGTAGATTGGTCATTTGTAGTATGTCGATTTTCAATATTCTGAAAGTGAAAGACGAATATGATTTTTTCTTTTTTTTTTTTTTAATGATTCTATGTATAAATACCGATGGATTGGATGTCAATTGACATGAAACACTACGTTTGCTTTGAATTATTGATTCCTTCTAAATAAAAGGAAAAAAGACAGAAATCGACATATGGTTAGCGTAAAATAAGCATGTGCCTTACTTGTGGTGTATTTGTTCTCATTTGAACTGTATCAATCACATGATGTAGATCAGTGCATTGTTTTCTTAATTCCTGCAAATAGAAATCATAAAATGAAAATATATCAAAGAAATCTTCTTACACTAATCTAATAAATAATTTTTCTATTTCATAACCTACCTGATTTGATAAATCATCATCATGCGAAAAAATACATTGACCAAAGAAATTTTGAAGCCACCAACTTTTACGTTTTGTCATTTTCTTAATCTAGTCTCTCATATTATATCTATGATAATTAATAGTCTTTTTTTTCCATATTTATGGAACAAAAAAAAAGCTAAACTGTACTTTAATGTTTATTTACATCGTCACTAATATTATATCTTTTTAATACAGCTACAAATATTTAAAAGAAGAAAGTATAGAAAAATGTTCTATATCTACAATCAAATATACATATATACTCATTTGCAATTTTACCATGCTCAAAAAAATTTATCTCATGCATTAATACTATCAATCAAATTCAATCTTACAAGAATTTTTTTTTTTTCAAGACAATCAAAAGAAAAAAAACGAACTAAGAAAGAAAGTCTATTATTTCATGCACATGTTTCGCTGTTGTAACAGTGTTGAAAAGAAACGATGATACAATCAGACTAGAAGATATATCATGTATATATAAGCAACAAAAAAAAAACTGAATGATAGCAGTTGTAGATATTTGAGAGAAAGATAGACATACACTCATTCATATATATATATATATATATATATATGATTATAGTTGAAACTACTGTTGAAGTAACAGGCACACGTCAATTAAACAAAAAAAAGAAGGTTGTGATAAGACACGTAACACACTTGTCTTTTGCTCCTCAGTTAAAGCAAAAGAAGAGAAGAACACTTATGTGTATACATACATATGCACAAAAGCATCAGTCAATGTCAAAGTATGACGGTGAATGAAGGTCATGAAAATTTTAAATTTGGCTGAGATTATAAAAATTCAAGAGAAATATTTTTTATTTTATTTATTATAGTTTAATTTTAAATTAGATAGTCAATTTAGAAAATTTCATCTACTAATTCGATGAATTAATCAAATAAAACTTAGTAGAGATAGAAAAAAAAAGAATTTTAGGAGTAACCCTAGAAAACATTTAAATTCAACGTAAATAGTTACAAGACATAGAAATGCAAAAAAAAAACAAAGTATTATAATCTAACATGTAGAACTACATGGTTTGCACTTTTATATTAAACTAACAGGTTTGTAAGTTCAACATGAAATCTAAAAATTTTTGTTTTTTTTTTTTATTTTGATATAGAATATACCAAAGACATAAACTGCTTTTTTTTTTATTAATTCATATAAAGATGTGAAAAAGTTTATTGGCAGATCATATTTTTAAAGCAAATTTTTACTTATATTCATTATAAAATATTAATAAAACATTCCTATCTTTTCCTGATTGAATAAAATATAATTTCTCAAGAGAGAAAAAAAAAACTCTTTTTTCTTTGCCTTTTTTCTTTTTTTTGTTGTTTATTATATGTATCTTACCTCTTGAGTAAAGAGTGTTTTTATAATTAGATCAGTGACAGATCCAATACATTTTTCACTTTGTTTTTGATATGTTTGATAGTTTTCATGTAATCGACGATTTTCATCTTCTAATTGTTGAATACGTTTTAATAAATAAATTTGTTCATCTGCAATCCATCGTTGGCACTAAAAATCAACATACAAAGATATATAGAATTCTAAAAGAAAATTATGACGAAATAATAAACTTACTCTTTCTTCAAGTGTATCAAATCGTTCTCTTAATATACGATTTTCATTTAATAATTTATCCATTGTTATATTAACTGTTTTAAACTAGGAAAAAAGGATAAATTATTATTTTTTAATAAAAATAAAAGAATCTTAATTTTACTTCATTATCAGCGAGTATAGATGAACGACTATGATGAATATATCGTTTACTTGAACAACGTAGTCGATTCTTCCAACGACGAAATATCGAACTCATACTATGATACCAGTGGATCTAGAAAAAATGAGCAGTAAATTAATTAGAAATCTAATAAATAAACAACCTATGTGAAAAATGCGAAATATTTCTTTGACTATCCTCTCAGTGTTTTTTTTTGTTTTTTTTTTGTTACCTAAGGTCTTTACTTTCTTCAGGATACTCAAGACAACAACAGAAGTTAGCCGATAGCAAGAGTGAAGAAGTATGCGTTTGCCAACAGTTGGTTGAATAAATAAAAAAATCTCCTTTTTTCCCTCTTCTTTTCTTCTCCTTTTCTGCTACAGCTACTACTGCTCGATTGCTTTACCTCAACACAAAAAAAAAAAAAAAAAGAAAAAAAACAAGAAAGTAAGCAAACATGAAAGAAAGTGCAAAAGAAAGATGTATACATCAATGTCAAACATTCAATAAAACATATATATTACAGATCAATTTGTTAGTTAAATTCTACAGTTTTCGTATTCTATTACTATTCTTATCTTCTTCATCTTTTTGATAGATTTGTCTCTTTCTTTTTTTTACTCGTCGATAACTATTGTCATAACGTACTAATCGATAGACTTCATACACATACATAAATATATATATATATATATTTTTCTCATGAATGATCTACACTCATCTGACATTTAAAAAAAAACACGAAAGGCAAGTGAAATAGGAGATGTGTCATATGAAAAAGAAAAAAAAAAATCGTGTGTATCGAATTCCATGACAAGTTCACATAATGACTCGGGTTTTCTTTTCTCTTTTGTTCATATTCATGTTCATTGCATTTATTCAATTGTTAGATGACAAACACGTAAAAATGTTTAAATGGCATTCAAGTGTACTTATATAGCTATTTGGCTGCTTGAATGTTCATATTATTGCGTATACTCATTTTCGATTCGATCACTTTTGTTTTATTAGTATAAATGGAAAAGAACAATCATGATTAATTCCATCTTTTTAGTAGTTCTCTCTATTTTGATATATATTATATATATATATATATATATGATGTAATGACTTTTGTTCATCAAATATTTCAAAGATCACCGAAATCACTGTCGATCGCGTGTATAGTCTCAATTGAAAGGATTTGCCTTATGCATTTTTTTCTTATTATTATTCGTCATCTATATACTTACTTGAGTAATATATAAATGAGACTCAAAATTTCATTTCGCGTCACTTATAAAATATGGCTTGAATACATGTTCCATATCGATAGATCGATTAATATTCATATACAATAGAACATAGATTTAACAAAAGAAAAAAAAAATTTCTTTATTCTATTCTAAATCATTTGATTTGATTGTTCGAGTCAATTTTTCTTTTTCTTTTTTTTTTTTTTCTACAATAAACAAGTATAAAAATGACTTACGATAGTAAGATAGATTAGTTGAAGAATATTTTGAATAAATTTTAGTAAAGGCATAATGATAAAAAAACTAAGTAGACCAAAATCAATAAAAATTGCGTATGTCATCAATATTTTTGGTGACCATTTTGAATTAGTCTCATTATTCATTGTTAACATTTACTTGACTCATTTGGCGACATTCGGTTCAAAGTTGAATTCAATAGAAGAAACAGATGGAGACGCTGTGAATATATCTTAGCACAGTAATGCCATGTGTGAGTATAGGACAGAATGGATGGAGACGCATCAAATTTCTTGATCTAGGCGGTAGAAGAAGAGAACAAAAAAAAAAAGCGCGAACGAGCAACGAAGAGATGCAAAGCTGTGTCTCAATATATATTTTCTTGTTTTGGTGCCTTATAGACTGCATCAATTGAGTATGTTGTTCATCGAGCACGGCGACACTCCTGAGACGACAATGACGAATAAAAAAAAAAACTCTAAACAGAGAAGGAAGAAAAAAAAAATCTGTCCTTCATTTCTTGGTCTCTTGTGGTTAAAACATTGGTAATCTTTTTCTTTTTTGATTATTCAATACTGTTTTTTTTGTCAATTACCTTATATATATTAAAAGAAAAAAAAAACATATACTGTTTACATTATATTATCCTAACAAATAATTAATTCATAGTATCATTTTACATCATAATGTTAGATTATTATTATGTATATAGATTGAATGAAAAAATTACGAACAATCTACTAAATATAAACTGAGTTTATTCATTTATTTCAGATTAGACTTTCTTTTTTTTTTAACCTTCGAGAAAATGTTCATTAATTATAAGCGAAGAAAAAAAAACATTTCTATTATTGATTAGTTAACATTTATATCTGTTGTGAACACTTCTAATAATTGCATGTATTTCCTCATTTTGTTTACAGATTGTTATAATAGTTTTGCCAATAGCAATGGCATTATCAAGTGTAAATATTGTATAATGATGAAATGAATTGATTTTATATGACAAAAAAAAAAAATTTATTCTATTGAAATATAAAAAAAAAAGGTTATCTGTTGTTATGAAATTGAAGTTAATTCGAAAAATTTAATGAAAATATTGATTATAATTTAATACTATATCAATAAGATCATTTTTTATGAATCTATGAGAATGAATAAATGAATTTTTGATTTAAAATTTCAATTGCAATATATATAAAAGATAAAATTAGATATTCTGACCTTGTTGAATTTTTTATTTGCATAGATCAAATAATATTAATTGAACAAGTTGAACTCTAAATAAATATCTTGAAAGATAATATGAAAATTAGATTTTATTCTAAGATAAGATTGTGCTATATTTAGTAGCAATTCATTCTAAGTTATTATTACTAAATACAAACTAATGTCTATTGAAAATTGTTTGATTACTTATTGTTAACGTTAAATGACCATGAAAGAAATTTATTTAGTGTAAAAAAAAAAAAAAAAAAAAGAATAGCTCAAGTTTCATGGAGAATAATTTGTAAATGAATAGAACGGTAATTTAATTTTTTTTTTTATTAATTTCTATCTTAAAATATTAGTCTAATAGATTTTTTTTTTGCTTATATGAAACAATCCTTTTTCTCTAATCATATTAGTAAAACCAACTAGAATTTCACGTATCTAAATAATTGAATATTGAAAATATAAATTCTATTAATTTATTGGTTATATACTGTAATGAATTATAAAATCATATTCGAAAAATGATTGTATTGGAAGTAAATATTCTTCACAAATTATATATAGTTCTATTTTAAAATATTCATTATATTATTGAATATATTCATTTCTGATTCAATCAGTTAGTTGAAATATATTCGAGGACTTTTTTTTTTCCTAAAACGTGACTTTTCAAACAAACAGATTAATTTAAAATTTAAAAGTATGATTTTGTTAGTTTTGTAATAAATATGAAAGAAAAATATCAATGTCCTTGTAGTGCTTTTGTTATTCTTGTCAATATCTTATTTTAATGTAAAATTACTTATGTTATTATTAAAAATTTTGAAATGAAAAGAAATAAAAAAAAACTCTTAGTGGACGGATGTGTGGTTGTTGAATTGATAAGAATATCAGATCCATCGAAACAAAATTTACAACATCAAAAATATCATTCATTTATTGACTTCACACGAACACATCTTTTCAAAACTTAGACTAATACAAAAAAACAAAAACAAAAGAATTATCATTTTCAAATGAAGTAGAATTAATATGGAATCCAACAAATATAGATAATTAATTGTGTTTCTATTCATTCGATTCATAAACATGTTTCAATAGGAATTTTCTTTTGAATATGATAGATTTTAATCAATGATATACTACACAAATCGTTCAAACAACAATTTTCAGACTGATTTTAGTTAAAACAAAAAAAAAAAAAACAAAGTGCTGCTGCATTATTATTGACGTTTGTACGTAGTTTATACAGTGCTCTATTTATAGATATCACACTCTACTATATTACATATATGTGTAGAAATATAGAAATAGATTTTTATATTAATCGACAGAGAATTGGAAAATTTAAACATTACTCCATAATAAAATTTTCTGTTTTGAGAGACAAAATTTTATCTAAAATATTAGTGACAGTTTCTTATGAACAGTATTCTGTTGTTGAATACAACTTCTGAATAAAATCGTTCTATTGTAGATTAATAATTGCACATTGGTCATAATGCGAGATGTGAATAGCATAACTAATTAATAAAAGTATTAGAAGTCAAATGATTAGTGATACTCGAATTCCAACTCAGCAAATAAAAGGCATTACTTGCATTTCAAATGTATAATGTGTGACATTTTGCAAGATCAGTCACATAGGATTCAAATCTGAATGTTAAATTCGTTGTCATCAATTCACCAGTATGTCTTTTACATCTCGAAACATAATTCATGACTATTTATCCGCCTTTAAATTAACAAATCCATTCAAAAATCATAGTATACAAGAGAGATGGAATCGGTTCGCGTTTTCTTTTTGGAATCGAACCGAATCAACACGTATAGACAAGTTAACAAATGTATTAAAGTATGATATTTACAGTAGTGGACAAAAGTCTTCACTCCACCGAATCTTATCTATCATAAACGCTGAGTAACTGAAAATTTGTGCATATATACTCCATTGAAAATGTAGATCAATGTCAAAACCGTACTACGATTGTTTAAGGACAAAGAGAACGTCACAATTCTAGAAAGAATTGATAAACTTCAATCGAATCAATAGTGTAGATATCTGAAACGTAGCATTACATAATGAGAGATCGGCTGACTTACAAAGTCTTTCCTTTTCAAAGTGATAAAATTCAAAAGAACAAAACGTATCATCCATTAATAACATACATTATAATTCTCTTTGTTACATATGCAATCAAAGTTGATGGAATATGCGCACACAAATTTTTAGATCTTCAGTATGTATGTTAGCTGAAATGCAGTAGAATAGAGACTTCTGTCCACTACTGTAAGATACTTAAATTTATCTTCCTAAATGATATTTATATAATACAAACAACATCATGCATTTATCGATAATTTTAAATTGTTAATTAATTATTTATATTAATGTAAACTATATAAGAAACAATAAAATTCGCAGGAAAAATGATAGAAGAAAATAATTATTAAATAAAACCAACTACTAAGAATATAAACAAAATTATTTATATACACATAATACACACATATTCATTCTCTTTAAATATTCGGAATGTAAAGAAATAAATATCAAAAAAACATTTGAACTCTCATTATCACAAAGAAAAAAAAGTGAATCATTACAAGGGGGAAAACGACTGGTATTGGACTTTTTTTGACTTAAAATGATTTTGATGACTTTAAAAATCATGAAAGTGATTTATTTTAAAACTAATATATCTCGCTTTATTCGAATGTTACTTTCAATTCTGACATCCTTCAGCTTTGTAAAGAGCGAAAGCAATCATAATATCAATCTCTGCTCTCATTGCTCTCATAATCCCTTGAAAACGTAGGTGAAGTTGAGCCCAGATTCGACTATTTACGAGTAAGATTCATTCAGAAATTTGTTTCAATGTTGTTATTCTTATTTCAAGTACAACTTGAGGAGATCTATCCAATGGTATAAGTAGATTTTTCATAACTCAGTGTATGCCTCAGAAAACCTCACAATATTGAAACCTCACTATTAGGATCTTGGAATCTACAAAATAACAACTGTTCATATTAGTCCAAGAAGCTATGACAAATTTCCTATTATTGTGCCAAGTAGAACTCCATAAGCTGTCTCTAATAGTCTATTTAGATTACTGATTGTTCAAAATATATCACCAAAAATCTTAATATACTGGTTAATGGTTTATAACTCACTAAGCAAATTCCATTCTCCATATATCCATGAAAACTCATTAAAAAACTTGATTTAGAAAACCTGACTTCTCTCTTTGTAATATGAAACAAGCGCTGGTAAATAGTTTTCCTCGCAGGTTAGACAAGATGAACCTAATAAGCGATGAAACGATATGCTTCTATTAGCCGTTACCTTGCATAAGAATGGGAACTTTAAAACAGATTTGTCTGCAAGGTGAACAACTATTAATTTACGCATTTCAAGATCGGCATAGAGAAATTTCAGTATTGTAAGGTTTCTGGAGACATGATTTGAGCTATGGAAATTTTAATTATACTTAAAACAAGAATAACAGGATTTGAAGAAGATTCTGGATGAATTCTGTTCGTAAATACTCGAATCCACACCTGACTTCACTTACGCTCGAGTACCTTGAATTTTAAGTAATGTTACTTCATCTGAACTGACCCGTTGACCTACAACATTGTGAAAGTCATTATTGTGGGAGGTGAACATACCAGAAAGCAATATTTTAGTACGCACAAATAATGTTCGAGGAGTCATAAATGTAAAAGTGATATGAACAAAAAATTTAAAAAATGATACATATTAAGCGAGTAATAAAAACAACACATGCATATGAATAGCAAAGTTCAAACTAAATTAATGCCTAGCACACACGAA